TATATTATGATTGATATGATATATATGAGTGATTGATTGATTAATTGAAACATTAAGTTTTGTATTTCAACTTAAATATTTGAAGACACTTAGAAATGTTCACTCTCCATGTGCCTTTCAACAGAAAAAAGAATGCTTAGCTTTTGGACCGGGTGAGGACATGTTTGAAAGTACCAGGATGATAGGAGAGAATATGTACAAAAAAGCAAAGGTTTGTCTCATTTGTGATATTGTTTGATCCTTGATATGTATCAGTGATTGTGGTGTGAGTGCATTATTTTACCTAGTCAATTTGTTCTGCAGGAGCTGTACAGCAGTGCAAAGCAGGAGCTACATGGGCCCGTTTACGGCGCACATCAGTGGGTCAACATGACCGATGAGACTGTCCCATTGAACTCAACTCATACAGTGAGTACAGGGTTCCTGTGCATAAAATACAGCTAATGAGACCAGGAACATGTTCTAAAAGAGTACTCAAATCAATTATATATGAATAGCACTTTTTAAAATACACATTGTTTTAAAGCAACTTTAAAGAAATGTTCTATATTCAGTAATTCAATCATTTATATTATAATAATAGTTTACACTTTTGGGTGAACTGTAAGAAAACATGGTCAAATTGCAATTTTTGGACTTTATACATGCATTTTAGATAATTATATGTGCAAGCATTTGACTAGTGAAACACCAACTTTGTGTAAAATTGTGTTACGATGTCATGTCCATGTAAACTCACTTAACAAAAACATAAAGATTCGTAAAGTGCTGTTCACATTGAGTACAGTATAGTTTCATCTCAAAATGACAATTTAATACAACTTTACAGATCAAAAACACACATTTTGTAGTGTATAATTCCTGTAGGTACATTAACACAAAAAATTGAAACTCACATTTCTGCTTTTAAATTTCCAAATTATAAGTGCATCACCAAAACATGCTTTTCTATTGTTTTTACAATCTGAAAAAAAAAGTGAAAATTATTTTCTATAGCCATCAATTGAACGTCACAGATGCTGTCTGTAGAGCTTAACATGAACCAGAAAACTCCTCATTGTGGTGTTCATGCCAATACTGTTTCTGTCATCAGGGACGGACGTGTAAACCTGCTCTGGGCCACAGTTTTGCTGCTGGTACAACTGATGGGGGAGGAGAGTTCAACTTCATGCAAGGTAAAGAGATGCATTTCATAAACAAATATAGCCCAAATATAGTCATGTCACACGCTTGACAAGTATTTGCCAATTTTTATGGTTTCATATTTGACAGGCAGATAAATACAGAGTTCTGGCATGAAACTCTAGATGGCGCAGTCTGATAGGTCTAACTCAATCTGACCTAATGACATCATTATCACATGGCACAGCTGATTGGTTCTCTCCTGTATGGGTAGCCAATGAGCTCGCTGCTCAACATTCAAATATATGACTAGTGCTTGCCGTAGCAGTTGCAGCTTGCTTCAGAAACCCTCCACCTTCCCCAGCTCCACCTGTATAGATCTGCTACGAGGTGATTCATGTATGCTATATGGGGGTTATTTCATGTATGTTATATTAGCAGCAGCAATATTTCTTACATGCTCACAGCAGCATATTGTGGATGTATTGGCAGTAGCAAGTCTCGGTACTTGCTCTGCTGCAGCAGCAGCAGAAGCAGCGTAGCAGATCTATTCCGCCAAGACCAAATACATTAACATTGTCATGTACATTACCATCCTCCGAGAGTTGTCATGACAGAAGTATGGTTATGCTTGTGACCAGGGGATACAAATGGAGATCCTTTCTGGGATGGAATAAGAGATGCAGTTTTGGGACCGCCGTCCAACGAGACCACAGCTTGTCATCGGCCTAAACCAATCCTCTTCAGCACTGGGGAGGTATGAGGACAATTAGAGCTCATGAAGAAGCAGAATGATAGAAACCTAATATACAATACGTTATCTTTTGTTAAGATAAGAATGTGCCAAAAAGGAAAATCTCTTAAGAATTGGCACTTTTTACAAGTACATGACAATAGGTAATGGCAAGTATGTATTAATAACATACTTTTGCTTCGAAATAATAACATTGATAATTGTTTTTATGCAGATGAATTCGCCCCTCCCATGGCATCCAGCCATTGTGGACGTTCAGATCATCACTATTGGCTCTTTAGCCATAGTTGCGGTCCCAGGAGAATTTACGTGAGTTCTGTTAGGAAAGGTTAATATAGAAAACAGTGGCTCTATAATGAGCCAATATGGTTTACCCCAAATTGTTTTCTATGTTCTAGTACCATGTCAGGGAGAAGAATACGAGAGGCAGTCAAAAAGGTACGAATTGCACATACACTACTGGTAAAACATTTGGAATATTTATGACTTTGTAATGACTTTAAAAGAAGTCTCTTATGCTCACCAAGGCTGCTTTTATTTGATCAAAAATACAGTAAGAACAGTAATTTTGTATTATGTAATTAAAATGAAAAATAACAGTATTCTATTTTAATATTTGTTTAAATGTAATTTATTCCTCTGATGCAAAAGCTGAATTTTCAGCATCTTTACTCCAGTCTTCAGTGTCACACGATCCTTTAGAAATCATTCTCATATGCTGATTTTGGTGCTTGATTTTATAAATTATTATTGGTGCTGAATTATTAAAAATGGTTCTTATCAACATTGAAAAGAGTTTTTGCTGTTTGCTGTTTTGCAGAATTTAAAATTTAAATATTTTGTTACTGTATATTATAAATGTCTTTACTGTCACTTTTGATCAATGTTTTTTTATCTTTACCTTAAACATTTGAATGGTAGTGTATGACAGTTTCTACGAAAATGTTAAACAGCAAAAACTATTTTTTAACATTGATAAGAAATATTTCAGCCAATCAGCATATTAGAATGATTTCTGAAGGGTCATGTGACACTTACAACTAAAGAAATACATCACAGGAATAACCTAAATATTTTTAATTACATTAAAAACATTAAAAAATATATATATTTCAAACTTTTGACCAGTTGTCCACGTTTGTCCCAGTTTGTTTAAAACCAATGCTCACTATTAACAAACTATTAACTACAACTTTTGCCTTAATATAGTCCTAATTTGCTGCTTATTAATAGTTAGTAAGGTAGTTGTTAAGTTTGTATAGGGTAGGATTAAGAGATTTAAAATATGGTCATGCAGAATAAGGCATTAATATGTGCTTTATAAGTACTAATAAACAGCCGATATGCTAGTAATATGCTTACTAATAAGCAACTAGCTAATAGTGAGAATTTGTCCTTCAAACAATGTGTTACCGAAAAACTTTTAAAATATGTTCAGGGGGTACAGAAAAAAAATATTTTGTAAAAGTTGACGGCATAACCATTTCACATGAGTTCCATAGGAGTTGGAGGTGAAAGAGTCTTTCGCTAATGCAGAAGTGGTCGTTGCTGGTCTGTGCAACATCTACACCCACTACATCACAACATATGAAGAGTATCAGGTGTGTATGCTAGAAAACACTTGGTCTTAGTCATGGTATTTACAGTACATGGTGCTCCAAAGTACATCAGTGATCCCAAAAAATATGCGTCTGTCTTTTTCCTCTATCCTCACAGATCCAGCGATATGAGGGCGCATCCACTATTTTTGGCCCTCACACTCTCTCGGCTTATATCCAGCGCTACAGAGGCCTGGCCAAAGCTATAGCTCATGTAAGCCTCCGCTGCCTTACAGTCATTTGTGACATTTTGATGAACTGAATTGGCCTGGCTGATCTCATGAATAAACCAATCTTCCACAGGGAACAATAAAAGAGCTGCCGAAAGGTCCTGAACCCCCTTTCTTTGATGAAGACAAACTTTTTAATCAAGTGAAGGACCCAGTGGCAGATGTAGCACCAGCTGACACCGTATTTGGTGACATCTTAGAGCAGGTTAACCCTGTCTATAAAGTGGTAAGTCAATAATTGTGATGTAGAAACAGTACAGTCACATTTACCATTTTTTGGCGCAATTTTGCGGGGCAAAATCAATTATTTCAATAGGAATCCACACGTTTGGGAGTTTCACGTGAGGGTGAAAAGTTCTCCATGTAGTTTTTGTAACATAAAAATGTGATTTTGCTGCATTGGCCAACATAAAGATGCTTGGTTTGAATGTGACTTCTTTTTAAAAACTGCTATGCTGTTGACAATGGACTTTTTTGCCCGTGAAAAATGTGACTGTACATTAACACTGTACTAGTGAAAGATACGCTCACTGTTATAAATTGACAAGCTTTATCTGATTTATTTATTCTAAAGGGAGAAATTGCATCTGTCACATTTGTCGCTGGAAACCCGAGACACTCTGGAGATATTGTGAGTTCTTTAGTAGCAGTAACTGTACAATAATCTCGTGCAAAACATGCTCTTTTATTTGTGCGATATAACTAATCTGTGGTGATTGTGATATCAGAGAGATAAGACATTTGTCACAGTGGAGAGGTTTCACAACGACACCGACTCATGGGAAATAGTTCACACAGATGCATCGTGGGAAACGAGGTAATACCTAAACCCTAACCCTAACCCTAATACCTAACCCTAACCCTAGGGTACATGCTGAAGAAAGAGGCATTGTTTATGCTTTTTAAATGCTAATGTTATCATATTCATTTGTATTATTCTATACTTTTACTTAGAGATTGAGTTAATAAAGCCGTCTTAATGCTGATGGTATCTTTCAAGGTCTATCCCCGATAAGGCAAACGCTGAGTCAAGGTCTTATCACTTATTATATAGCCAGTTCAATCCTCGGGCCAAAATCCATGTGTGATCCCTATTGGAATTCTAGATTAGACAGTCTGAGTATGTCAGCAAAACTGGAACTGATAAAAGGGCATTGAAGTTTTTTGATTGAATGTTGATTTATTTGATATCAGTTTTTAAAATTCTTTGAGCACAAAGACAAACCTACATTTCAAAACTGGGAAAAATCATGTAAAAATGTTAAATTATAATATTAACTAGATAGTAAAGCTAGATAGACAAACTTTAAGTTTGCTTGAAAAAGCCTAGCCAAAAAAGTTTGTAAAAGTTTTAAAAGCTTGAAGTTTGAAGGTTTTTAGTTTGAAGTAGTTTGAAATACTTAAAATAGTTTTAAAGAGTAAAGTTTGAATGTTTTGAAGGCAATACAGTCTATCAAATGAACAGACATAGAAAAACAGATCGCTAGGGTACCTGGGGTGGCTTCTAGGGTGTTTGCTAGGGTACTCAAGGTGGTTGCTAGGGTGTTTCTAGGGTACCTGGGGTAGTTGCTACAGTATTGCTATGTGGTTGCTAGGGTACTTGGGGTGGGTGCTAGGCTGTTGCTCTGCAGTTGATTGGGTATTCTTGGTGGTTGATAGGGTGTTTTGCTATGTGGTTGCTAGGGTACTCAGGGTGGTTGCTAGGGTGTTACTAGCATGTTGTTAGCATGATTAGCAAGTTACCAGCATGTCTCTAGCATGATTAGCATGTAACTAGCATGTTGGTAGCATGATTATCAAGTTGCTAGCATGTTGTTAGCATGTTTCTAGCATGATTAGCACGTTACTAGCATGTTGTTAGCATGTCTAGCAAGTTACTAGCATGTTGTTAACATGATTATCGAAGGTTACTAGCATGTTGTTAGCATGATTAGCATGTTTACCAAGTTGCTAGCATGAATAGCAATTACTAGCATTTTGTTAGCCTGTTTCTAGCATGATTAGCAAGTTACTAGCATGTTGTTTGCATGTTTCTAGCATGATTAACAAGTTACTAGCATGTTGGTAGCATGATTAGCACGTTACTAGCATGTTGTTAACATTATTAGCAAGTTACTAGCATGTTGCTAGCATGATTCTAGCATGATTAGCATGCTACTAACAAGATTTTAACATGATTTAGCATTTTACTAGCATGTTTCTAGCATGTTTAACAAGTTGCTAGCATGTTTCTAGCATAATTAACACGTTACTAGCATGGCGTTAACATTTTGTTAGCATGATTAACAAGTTACTAGCACATTTCTAGCATGAATAGCACGTTACTAGCATGTTGTTATCATGATTAGCAAGTTACTAGCATGTTGTTAAAATGATTAGCAAGTTGCTAGCATTTTGTTAGCATGTTTCTAGCATGATTAGCAAGTTACTAGCATGTTGTTAGCATGATTAGCAAGTTACTAGCAAGTTGTTAGCATGTTTCTATGCTAATCCAGCTAAAACCAGTTGATTAAGTAAAAAAACTGCTAAAAAACAGCTAAGACCAGCCTGACCTGCTAAAAAAAGTGGCCAAAACCACTTTAAAACCAGCTTGGGAGACCAGCCAAAGCAGCCAATCAGCTTAGGCTGGTTTTAGCTGGGTTTTTTTTCAGTAGGGAGTTGTTAAGCTTTGCTATAGCAATAGACAGCTTAAAGGGTTAGTTCAATTTTTCAAGCTAGTTTCATTTTTGGGTGAACTAACCCTTTAAATAACCCTTTAAATACATCATAAGTCTTATTGTATAAAAGTTTTCACCCCCTCAATGAAAGTCTATGGGATTTTAGGTGGTTTTGATAGTCTGGTTTACGAAAACCATAAGCCGGATCAGTTAGAAAAGATATAGAAACCCGAGTCAGACCAGTGTGAAGGTCTGACCCGAGTTTGGTGGTTGTAGCTTTAAAAGTCTAGGAGGAGATGCACTTTAAAATTTGGTCTCAGAAGAAGAAGTTAAATAGGATTTCAGTGAGTTGACTTTCTCAAGCCAACTTAATAATTAAAAATCAATATGCACTATAATGTAGACTCGTTTTGTGTATTCAGGTTTCACTGGATTAAAGGACTTGCTGGCCGGAGTCAGTCAAAAGTGGAGTGGCACATCCCGCTCACGGCACAGACAGGAACCTACCGGATTCAACACTTTGGACACTACAAACAAATCATGGATAACAACACCATCACCACACCATACGTGGGCACTTCTGATGCTTTCAAAGTCACCAAAAGTTTTTACTACTATTGATCAGTGTATCACTGAGAAAGACATTAGATGTGAAGCTGACAGATATTAGCTGCTCATAAGGCAGTGTTCAATTAACTTAATAACTTAATGTTGTTGTTCTTTACACTGTCTTTAAACTTTCATACAGTGAGAGTACTAAAATGTAAAATTCACAGACACTGCCCTGCTAAAAAAAACAAACAATAGAAATGTATTACATAACCAATAAAATGTATTGGTTTTAATGAAAACTGTAATGGTGCCTGTGGTTTTCTACTGGTAATTGGTCACCTTCTATTGGTGGCTTGTTAAAACCAATAAAACCTAATGGAATATGTCCCCAAACACACTACAGGAAACCATTTTTAATGGTTTTAATGGTAAAAAGTTGATGGTTTGTAATGGTATTTGTAGTGGAAACCATTGGAATTTCTGTGATGGTTTCCATTGTTGTTTTCAGCAAGGTGAACTTTCCTTTTTTATAATATTGATTTCTAAGGTAAAGTAATTGTTTAGTTAAGTATAAAAATATCTATAAAACTGTTCCATTGGTCTCTAACTGATAAAATAAACAATATGTGTTCACGTTATCATTAGGCAGCACACATAGAGCCCAAACTTAGTTTACATGCCAGGCACAATATCTTCAGAATTTATTTAATACATTTTTTTATTTAAATTTGTTTTAATTATGCACTATTTGTTTTATAAAAGTAGCAAGCACCTTTCAAATGGAAGAACAAAATGGCTCAAAAGCTCGAAAAATTACTATTTTCAGCCCAAAGGTGCATTCAGTTTAATTCTGATTTTTTTTTTATTACATAGATATAATATGTTTTTGTAAAGACCCGTAGTTTTCCATAAAAAAGTTTTCATTACACATAGTTCTGGTCATGCCCTTAATGTATTCTGCCATGTTGAAAAGACTTGACCCGTGTAGCATAGTTTGGTGATGCAAAGAGCAAAAATGAGACAATGAAACACACCTACTGTACATGGTGCTAAATAGCACTGAAAGTGGTTCTTTGGCTCGTAATCATAGGGGAACCACTTTAAGTGCTACATAGCACCTACTGTATATCTTTAAAGAAGGTGCTATATAGCACCTTAACCACCCCAAAGAACCATTACAGGTTCTTTATAGGTGTTATATAGCACTTCAGTTGGTTCCACTACGAGTCAAAGAACCACTTTCAGTGCTATATAGCACCTCAATTACCACAAAGAACCGCTGAAGAACCATTTTTTTTGTGTGTGTGTGTGTGTATTACCACGCTTTACCAATGGGAGAATCAGTACTTTTATGGCCGAAGAAGCAGAACAGGTCTGAAGCTAGAAAATAGGAAGACCGGCAAAAACAAAAACCGAGCATAAACGGCGAACATAAGGTGAAAAGATTCGACGATGGAGAAAATTCTGAGTTGGGATGCTGAAGTTTTGTTGGACAGGCAAAGGAGTTAATGATGTAGATTGCGCCCTAAAATTGTATAATGATTGTATAATCATTGTAATTTACATAATACTCAATTTCAGAGTGACTATCATGAAGCGTTGTACACAGTGTAACCCATGTTATTGACTTAAATGTAGCTAGCCTATACACAGCGATGCTAAAGTTAGCTAAAGAATCCCTCAAGATTGCGTATGTAACCCTAGTTCCCCGAAGGAACGAGACGCTGCATCGAGACGCTTTGGGAATGCCTTCAGCGTGACCACGCTCTGAATCACGTGTGTAATCAGTCCAATGAATGGGCAAGACGTCACGGACGGGGTGACGTTGCGACCAGGAAGCTATAAATGCATGTGCGGTGGAAACAGCGGCAGCTTCTGGTAGAATGAGGGAAGCGCTTGCAGGGATGCCGGAAATATGGCTGGAGACGCAGCGTCTCGTTACTTCAGGAAACTAGGGTCGAGGTCGTAGAACCTGACGAATGTGAGCGGCATAGACCAACCTATATATATATCCTGCATAGCCACACCCGACAGGAAGGCCTTGGAAGCTGCCACGCTTCGGGTGGAGTGAGCCTTGACCCCCAAGGGCAAGGGGAGACCAGAGGACACATAGGACATAGAGATGGCATCAACAATCTACCGACTGAGGGTCTGCTTAGTGGCAGGCAGACCCCTCTTGGAAGGACCATAACATACAAGTAATTGGTCAGACTTCCTCCACATGGCAGCTCTGTGGACACATGGACACTCTGTGGACATGCTCGCACTGGACACATACAGTTAAGATTCTGCTGGTCTGGATCCCGAAAGGGAGGAGGACAGAAGGCCTGTAGTACGACGGAGGGCACTTTAGGGATGTACCCCGGCCTGGGGTACAGAAAAGCTTTGGTAATGTTGATTCAGGATCAACAAAAGATGTTGATCCAGGGGCATGTCTTACTTGGCAAAATCACGGCGACTGCCTAGTAAATGTCATCACTTACGTTATTTGCGTCTTCTATCGTGACGTGAATAATAGCTAGTTTATCAGCGTATATATTTTTTTTCAGAGAGATCCCCACAGCTGGCGGAACTTGTCATAAAGTTAGTGATAACAAGGCCCGCCCATTTAGAGGAAAGATATGATTGGTCAATTTTTCTGTCATTCGAAATTACTCCCCCATTGATTTACTATTGCTTGGCCCTCTGTAATTTCATAGCTGGACCACGAATCACAGAGCCGCAACATTCAAATATGGGCGGAAACATTCAAATATGGAGAAAATGGACGGTGTTAATAAGTCCATTCCCTGAATACGCAGATTTGAAGAGTTTTTTGTTTTTTTTCACAGAAGTTGTATTCATTTCATTTAGATGATGTTTGTCAAATTACGAATTTCTTAAATAAAATTAGTAATAATAATTACTCTCTGAGGGCCTAGAGGGCCCTGACGGTTCCCCACTGATATATATGTGTGTGTGTAAAGTACACTGTGTGCACAATTATTAGGCAAGTGATGATTTTGACCATATCATCATTTTATCCATAATTTCCAAGTCCAAGCTGTCGTGTAAGCTTGATACCATAGAGCCCCCCCCACATAACAAATCCAAATATAACCCCTGGACGCAACCCCCAACCTTTCTTTGGAACAATGAAGTACCGGCTGTAGAACCCGGACTCTCTGTCGAGAGGAGGGACCACCTCGATAGCCTCCTTCCTCAAGAGAGTGTCTACTTCTTGTTCCATGACCAGAGCCTGCTCGGGGCCCACCAGAGTGGGAAACACGTTTTTACTTCTTGTTCTAATACCGGAGCCTGCTCGGGACCCACCAGGGTGGGAATGATCCCATTGAAACGAGGCGGTGGAGAACCAAACTGAATTCTGTAACCTCTTTCTACAGTCTGCAGGACCCAACGTGAGATATTCGGCAGAAGTTTCCACGCTGCCAGGAAATCTACTGAGGGATCTACTACTCGAGACTGACCTCTGGTGTAATAGGAGCGGCCCGTTCGGTGCCCTGAAACAATGGACCGGCAGAGAACGACCAAACTAGCCACTCTGGAGACCTCCTCAGAGGTAGTGAGCCTCCCAGAGCTGCTACATTTCCGGGCGGACACTGAGATGTGTGCTCGCTGGAGACCACTGTGCCCTGAAGCAACGGTGGTGGCAGGGTTAACAGCGTGGCCTCCTGAGGGCACTGAGGAGAGACAGGCACCGTGTAGTGAGGTGTACACCACTCTTCCCCAGCAGGGGCTGCCCTCAGCTGCCCTCTTCTTGGTCGAAGACTTCTTAGCGAGAAGGACAGTCCTCAGATCGACCTTCGGCTTCGAAGCCTTCAACCGTGAGCGTCGCTCTCCCCGTGACCCCCGGTCACCACGCGGGGGAGTACAGGTCGCGATGCTCAGCTTTTGCACCTCTCTGTATGAGGAGCGGGCACATGGTTGGGGCTGCTCCCTTCCAACAGCCCCATGAGCTAGAGAGCAGCGAGGCAGGAACCAATGAAACGCCGCCGCTTGTTTATGGGCCTCCTGAAACCTGTCAACGACTGAGTTGACAGCGTCGCCGAACAGGGCAGAAGGCGCAAGCGGGGCGTTGATGAGGAAGACCCTGTTCTTCTCTTTTATTTCTGACAGGGTCAACCATAGATGCCTCTCTGCGGCCACTAAGGCTGCCATAGACCGCCCTATTGCTTTGGCGGTCTCATTCGTGGCATGGAGAGATAAATCAGCGTTCTGCAAAGCTCTTTGATGTCGTCAGCTTTCACTTCCTCGCCATCATCTAACTCTTTCAGCAGGTCCGCTTGGTAGGCTTGTAGTACTGCCATGGTGTGAAGGCAAGCACCAGCCTGACCTGCTGCTGTGTATCCTTTGGCCACCAACGCCAATGTAGTACGAAGCGGTTTGATGGGCAATGCCGGGACTTTCAGGGATGATGCCATGCCGGGAGACAGATAGCTCGCGAACGTCTGCTCAACCCGGGGCATCGCCCTGTAACTGCACTCATTTAGTCCCGTAATGTTAGAATAATCAACAAGGGAGGGACTCGGAGAGGCATGCCGAGTATGGACTCGACCATGATCTCAACACCTCGGTGTGGAGATTGGGGGAAAACGGCAAGCCCCGGTGTAGAGGGAGTGGCTTCGACCGTAAAAAGCGCTCATCTAACTTGCTTTTCGTCAGCTCAGCCTGCTTCTCGGTGGACCACTCGAGATTTAACTTGGCTACTGCACGAGTTATCACCTCCACAAGCTCCTCATACTGGGCAGATTGAGGGGACTCATCGACGCCCTCTACATCGCCCTCCTCGGAGGACGATAGCCTGAGCGTCGAGCCCTCTCCCCGTGGGGAAAGAACCCGCAGAGTGTGCTTCCGAACCCTGGGAGGGGGCACTGGATCTGGAGGTTGAGGAAGAAGAAAGGGACTTGCCCATCTCCATTCCTTCCGCCAGATCCATTTGCGATCCCCACGACCACCGCCGCTGCTCTGCCTCGGCAGCAGCAGGGCCTGAGCCGCGAGGAATGCCTGGCAAGGGCTCCCTCCTCAAAGAGAGCCCCTCGGGAGCAAAGCGTCCGCAGCGAGAGGCGCTCACAGTGCGGACAGTCAACCTCCTCGAGAGCTGACTCAGCGTGCTTCGCTCCCAGGCAAACAACACAAAGGCTGTGTGTATCCCCGCCCGTGATGTAACGAGGGCAGGGAAGAACACACAGCCTAAACTGATGTTTGCCTTTATCATCGCCCTTATTTGTCTT